GCAAATTTATTAATGCTACTTTCAGCCCTATCATTTTACCATGAAAAATTTCAAACATACAGAGAAGCAAAAAGGGTATTATTAATGAACACTTATACATCCATCATTATTTTATGCATCCACCATGTAGTTTTAATAATTGTTAACAGTTTGGCATATTTACTTTAACTGTATTTCTATTTTTCTTTTGCTGAATCATTCCAAAGTACTTACAAACATTGCATTTTACCCCTCAGTACTTTAATGTGCATGTCCTGAGTGAGAACATAAAAGAGCAAGGACATTTTCTTACATCAACACAATATTATAATATCTAAGAAAAATGTACAATTCTCTTGTCATCTAATAATCAATTAATATTTTAATTTTCCACAATTGCTTAATGCTCTTCATAGCTTCTTTGTTTTTAACCGAACTCTGATCAAAATTCACACATCTCATAATTTGATATCTAACGTTCTTCATTTTTCAAGTCATATTTATTGAGATATAATTTACAGCAAAAGTTATCCTTGTTTTAGGAGCACAGTTTTAAGGGTTTTGACAAATACATGTAATTATGTAACCACTACCATAATCAAGAGATAGATTATTTCTACCACAGCAAAATTCCCCTCATGGCCCTTTGCAGTCAGGGTCTTCTCCCTTGACCTCATCTCCTAGCAACCACAGGTCTCATTGTTGCTCATATAGTTTTATTTGTTTACATATATGGAATTATACAGCAGATAGCCTTTGATGTCTGCCTTCATTCACTTAGTATAATGCTTTGGGATTCATCTGAGTTGTTGAATGTATCAGCAGTTTTGTTAGTTTTTATTGCTGAGGGATATTCCACTGTATGGATGTACTGAAATTTGTTTATTCATTTACCAGTTGATGGGCATATTTCCAGTTTGGGTCCATTATGAATAAAGCAAATTTCAAGTTATAATTGCAACTATGTTACAATTTTTAGGACAAACTGATTATTGGAGTGTCATTTTTAAGGTCTAAGGTATTCTTTAAAATAGTTTTACTAATTACAAATTTTAAATTACATAAAATCATAAGTAACTAAAAGTTTCTATTTCCCTTTCAAATTACATTTCTTTACAAATCTAATACGCACACTTCCACAGACTGATAAACACACACACACCCCTTATCTAGGAAAATAGTTGAAATGGAAAACTTCAAGATTTAGTTAGTAATCACAGTAGTTTATAAGGAGTGATCTTAATGTATTTTGGGGCGCAAGGGTTTATAATGATAAACCTGGGTTTTATAAACATTACCTCATCAACTAGCAATCATATTTTAGGATGCTTAAAAACATGGTGGGGCAATTAAATAGGACAATTGCAGAAGGAACTGAAAAGTTTGTTTGGGAACTGTGGAATCTCCATAACTTTGTTTTCATAAGTCTGCTGCTCTATTTTCTCCTTGGAAGAGACCCAGTTCATTGCTAACACTTTTTGTGCCCTTTATGTCACACCAGCATGTCATTGCATTTCAAGTTTCTCAAAATATCTCTGAAAGCTACTGTTTCCAGTGGAAGCAAGGGATATAATTTTACATGTGGAACTTCACATCTGATTCTGTTTGCTACAGTTTCTCACTGAGAGGTAAAAAGACTGTAGTGATTAAATGCTCATTTCTGAATCAGAATACCAGAGTTCATCCCCAGCTCTACCATTTAATGGTAGTGTAATCTTAGGCATGTTACTTAAACTCTGCCCCAGTTCTGTTTTTTATAAAATGGGGAGATTAGTCACTTTCTTTCATAGGAATGTTCTAAGAATTAAACAAGTTACCTCATGGGGACCACTTAGAATAGAAGTTGGCATATAGTATGTACTCATTACGTGATATTTTTATTATTATCTATTACAAATGTGATAATACTAAATTATATACTGTAGTCTGAGTAGCAAAACTTCTGCTAAACCAAGTAAAAAAATATCCATAATAATATCAATAGCATTATTTATTGAATTCTTATTATGTTCTAGGAATTTCACCTAGATCTTAAAAGGAATTAATCCACTATCTCAACAACTTTAATATTATTTCCATTTTATAGACAAGGGAATTGAGAAACAGTTTAACTTGCCCATTATAGCACAATTAGTGGAGTAGAGTAGAATCCAATCTTATCTGATTTCAGAATTAATTTGTAACCTGTCTTCCCTAAAAAAAGAAAAAGAAATAAGGAAGGAAGAAGAAAGAGAGAAGGGAAAAAAGAAACAAAATGGCCTTAGTAGGTGATAAATTTGTTAAAGCATTACAAATTTAAAAAATTTATAACTCAATTCTTTTTTTTGGACTTCTTTATCTCCTTTACCTCTTTTTCCCATCCCTCTATCCTCCTCCCTTATGGCAACCACAAGTTTGTTCTCTGTTTTTATGAGTCTATTTTCTGATTTGTTTGTTCATTTGCTTTGTTTTTCAGATTCCACATATAAGTGAAATCATATGGTATTTTTCTTTTTCTATCTGACTTATTTCACTTAGCATAATACCAGCTTTCATTTTTTATGGCTCAGTAATATTCCACTGTGTGTGTGTGTGTGTGTGTGTGTGTGTGTGTGTGTGTGTGTGTGTGTACCCTATCTACTTTATCCATTCATCTTTTGACTGGACATTTAGATTGTTTCCATATCTTGGCTATTGTAAATAATCTTGCAATAAACATAGGGGTACGTATATCTTTTTGAATTACTGTTTTTATTTTCTTTAAGTAAATTCCCAGAAGTAGCATTGCTAGTTTTTATGGTATTTTCATTTTTAATTTTTTTGAGGAACTCCCAAAACTGTTTCCCATAGTGGCTGCACCAATTTACATTTCCGCTAACAGTGCACAGGGGTTCCCTTTTTTCCACATATTTGCCAGCACTTGTTATTTCTTGTCTTTTGGTAATAGGCACTCTAACTGGTATGAGGTAATATCTCATTGTGGTTTTGATTTGCACTTCCCTGATGATTAGTTATGTTGAGCAACTTTTCCTGTGTCTGTGTGTCTTCTTTGGAAACATGTCTATTCAGGTCATCTGCCCATTTTTTAATAGAATTATTTGCTTTTTTGGTGTTGAGGTGTATGAGTTGTCTGTATATTTTAGATATTAATCCCTCACTAGATATATCATTTGCAAACATATTCTCAGAAGGTTGCCTTGTTGATTTCCTTTGTTGTGCAGAAGCTTTTTATTATTGTGCAGAAATAGTTCCACTTATTTATTTTTGCTTTTGTTTGCCTTGCTGGAGATACATCTCCAAAAAAAAAATTGCTAAGGTCGATGTCCAAGAGTTTACTCGCTATTTTTTATTCTTTCAGGAGGTTTATGGTTTCACGTTTTATTTTTAGGTATTTAATCCATTATGAATTTATTTTTGTGTGTAGTGTAAGAAAGTGATTTAGTTCCATTCTTTTGCATATAACTTTCCAGTTTTTCCAACACCATTTATCAAAGGGATTGTCTTTTTCTCATTGTATAATCTTGCTTCCTTTAATTAACCTTATAAGCATGGCTTATTTCTTGGCTTTCCATTGTATTCAATTGATACATGCATTTGTTCTTGTACCAGTACCATGCCTTTTTGATTACTGTAGCTTGAAATTGAGCTGCCTGATACTTCTAGCTTTGTTCTTCTTTCTCAAGTTACTTTGGCTATTTGGAGTGTGTTGTGGTTACACACAAATTTTAGGGTTATTTGTTTTAGTTCTGTGAAAAATTCTATTGGTATTTTGATAGGGATTGCACTGAATTGGTAGATCATTTTAACAATATTGGTTGTCCTAACCATGATCACAGAATATCATTCCACTTATTTGTGTCATCTTCAATTTCTTGCATCAGTGTCTTATTGTTTGCAGAGTATAGGTCTTTCACCTCCTTAGTTAGATTTTTCCCTAGGTATTTTATCCTTTTTGAGAATTGTAAATGGGATTGTTTTCTTAATTTCTTGTTCTGCTAGTTTGTCATTAGTATATAGAAACACAATGTATTTCTGTATATTGATTTTGTATCCCGTGACTTTACTGAATTTATTAATTCTAATAGTTTTTTGGTGGAGTCTTCTATATAAAATATTGTGTCACCGGAAATAGTGACAATTTTACTTCTTTATCATTTTAGATGCCTTTTCTTTCTCTTTTTTGTCTGTGTGGCTAGGACTTTGAGTACTATTTTGAATAAAAGTGGTGAGAGTAGATATCATTGTCTTGTTCCTGATGCTAGAGGAAAAGCTTTCAACTTTTTACCATTTAGTATGATGCTAGCTGTGGGTTTGAAATTTATTTTAATTCAAATTTATTAGTTCACTCTTAAATTTAGTCAATAAGCAAAGTTTTTTTGGTTAACAATTTCCTTGCAAAATTTTAGTAAATCACAAAAATAGACCAGTTTCATAGATCATAAAATGTTCAGGTCAAGTCTTCAGAGTATCTATAATTTACCTTTACCATCATATAATTAATGAAACACCCAGAATGGTGTGCCATAATTTGTCCTAGATTACATTAACAAGTCAGTTGAGCAGGTTTCAAGACTCCTGATCCAGGACTCCTTTCGGGACATCACATTAAGTGAAATATATTTACATAGGCCATTTTGTTAGTGATATTTCATGAAAATACTGTGTATCCGAAAAAAACCATTATTATTTTCAGAGATGATGCATATATTGTCTAGTGTGGCTGACAGGGCTGCACGGTGAAGTATTTCTCTTTAAACGACTTCTGCAATTTTTAACTTTATTCCTTCCAAGTATTACTTTTTACTCTATAAATAACCGTTGAGAAGTTTTACACTGTGTTCAAAGGGCAAAGACAGTTCCCAAAACCGTGTCCGCCAAGCAGAAGCCCAGGTGGAAGACCAGCAGCCCTCACCGTGGGGAGGGAAGGATGGCTGACGAAGCTGTGGGCGGAAGGAAAGCTGAGCAGAAAAGGGCGGGACTGTAAGAGAGAACGGTGAGGGGCGGGCCCATAACGGCTTGCTTCCTGTTTGGTTGCGCGGGCAGCTTTGCGCATGTGTGGCCAGTTTGAAACTGCGTAGAGAGCTGGGTTCCGGGGGCTTGTGGAGGGACGGGCCAATGGGTGAGGAGCACTGACAGCGCTTGCTTGCTGGTTCCCTCGTTTCTGCCGCCTCCCGCCTCAGGGGTGCTCCGGAGTCGCTGCCCAGCTGCTCCCACGGCGGCTCGGTCACTGCTGGGCTTCCTGGAGCCGGGGGCCTTTGAGGGCGTGGGCGGGGCCGGGCCGGAACATGGCCGCGTCGGGACTGGTAAGTACTGCCGCGCTGCCCCCGTACCGGCGCTAGCGGCGGGGGAGAGAAACGTTGGGCCGGTGCTGTGGCTTCTTGGGAGAAGCCGCGCCAAGTTTTTGAGCTCAGGGGGTGATCGTGTGCGGATAGCCAGAGTCATTTACTTGCATTGTGTACTCTCAGGGTTTCTTGTGATTTCGGCTGTGACGGCATCTTTCTCAGAGAATCTGGGGATTAATACTCTTTAAACTCCAGATCCTGGTCTTCCAAATAATTTCTGTCCACAGAAGTATTGAAACGACTTAAAATAGGGTCTTTGCTTCAGACTTGTTGGTCTGGAGAAGCAGGTTATTTTGGAACATCTGTTACTGATAAGGTTGCGTGAAACCTGCAGCTGTCAGTTGAAAGGTGCAGGCTGCGAATGACTGTCGGGGGCGGGAACTCAGTTTTTGTTTACATGTTTCTGGTCTCCCTCGGTATTCACTGTTCTCTAATACTTCGCTTGTGCTTACTATGTATTTTACAATCCATGTCAGCGCCTCTCCCGAGCTTGTTTTCTACCTTACCTCCTCTTCTTGGAAAATCTTAAGCATCAACGAACTCCCATGTATATAAAGTTATATATGTATGCTTGTATACAGAGATGAAAGGGTGAATACATTGTTTACCTTCGTGTAATAAAGAAAAGGAATAAAGCCATTTCATTGGGGAAAGTGAAGGGAAATAAAATTTACCAAATGCCCACAGTTCCTTTTTTCTTTTTTTTTTTTTAAGACTGTTTTTTAGAACAGTTTCAGGTTCACAGACAAATAGGAAGGTACAGAGATTTTTCCATATACCTCTTTGCTCTGCACATGCATAGCTTCCCACCAGAGTGGTGCATTTGTTACAATTGATGGTCCTGCATTGACACATCATGACCACTCAAAGTCTGTAGTGTACCTTAGGATTCACTCTGAGTGTTGTACAGTGTGTGTGTTTGGACAAATCTATAGTGATATGTATCCATCACTATAGTATCAAACATAATTTTCACTGCCCTGTAAATCCTCTGTGCTCTGCCTGTTCATCCCTCTCTTCCCCGTCAGCCCTGGCACCATTGATATTTTACTGTCTCTGTAGTTGTGCTTTTTCAGATGTCGTAAGTTGGATTCATGTAGTATATAGCCATTTCAGATTGGTCTATTTGACTTAGTAGTTATGCATTTTTATTTCCTTCATTTGACTTTTTATTGATAGCTTATTTCTTTCTAGCACTGAGTAATATTCCATTGTTTGGAGGTACCACAGTTTATTCGTTTACCGGCTGAAGGACACCTTCGTTTCTTCCAGGTTTTGGCAATTTTATGAATAAAGTTGCATCATAATCTGCTTAAAAGAGCGAAGAGAGTATCTTTAGTCATTCCTGTACTTTTGTGAATCTTAACCAGGGGGGATTTTGTCCCCTAGGAGAATTTTTGTGGTGTCTGGAAACATTTCTGGTTGCTTGGAGAGGGCATGGATGAAGGGGTGCCAAGAGTACCTGGGGGTGGAGGCCAGTGATACTTGTCAGCATCCTGCAATGCACAGGACAGGCTCTCACAGCCAAGAATCATCTAGTCCAAAAATGACAGTTTGCTAGGGTGGAGAATCCTTTCTGGGTTGTGTATTATTTCTTTGAGAAACATAATCTCACAGTGAGTGGCCAAAACTAATACTGCATTTGACTGAATAGTGAGTTGAAATTGGCAGTTTTTGAGTGTGCTTTTGTTTTGAAAATTTTGCATTCTGACTTTGAATTTAGAATTAAGAGATTTTGCTTGTATTCACCACTTGATTTCTGGTTTGCCTAAATAGCATTTGGCTCTATAGTCAGTGCTTAATATTTGTTGAACGAATGAACTATCTTAACCTGAAAATTTTTCTATTTAAAAGAGGAATGGAGTATATCACAGGTGCTATTTACATACAAAAACATTGTGTGCAAATTAGTTGACTCAATTTGTGTGAAATTAAGAGAAGAATGGCTTTAAATTAGGCCTTGGAATGTAGTTAACTAACACTCTCTTGGCTAAAAGTGTTTAAAAATGATGAGTACTGGTCAGAGATTTAAGTGCTTGAAATAAATTTTGTTAATGATTTGTGATGAAACTGAGTCTTGTTAGATGTCTTTGTTGGTTAGTTTGCTACTTATAAAATGCTCCTTAGGTATTTCCTGAAGAAAACAGGCTGTGTGAAACACTCTCACCTTCTTTGAAGAAAGATATTTTTGTCATTAGGTTTTGGTCTTGTTTCTTTGGCATGTCTAAAGTATATCAGAAATATGTGGTATACAATTTTGCCAAAACTAGTTGTTGAAATGCACCAGGCAAGGCCCTGGAAAGAATAAAAACTAGGCTAAGACAAAGTCTGTGCTCTCAAGTTTCTTAAAATCTAATAGGGGTCTTCATCTTTCTGAAAAATTCAATCTAAAAGCAGTTAGGTGGAGCCATCCTTGGTAGGGCTCCCTATGGTTGGGAAACTACAAGGGGCCCAGAGCAGTGTGCAGGAGCCTGAATGAAATCAGGAGAGTGGCCCAACTTAGGATGTTACAGTGTGAGTGGAGTAAAGAGTGGGTCATGAGATTTTTGCCAATGTTTTTTTCTTAGAGTTTTGTGGTTTCATGACTTACATTCAGGTCTTTGATCCATTTCGAATTTACTTTTGTGTATGGGGTTAGACAGTGATCCAGTTTAATTCTCTTACAAGTAGCTGTCCAGTTTTGCCAGCACCATCTGTTGAAGAGACTGTCATTCCCATTGTATGTCCATGGCTCCTTTATTGAATATTAATTGGCCATATATGTTTGGGTTAATGTCTGGAGTCTCTATTCTGTTCCACTGGTCTGTGGCTCTGTTCCTGTGCCAGTACAAAATTGTCTTGATTACTGTGGCTTTGTAGTAGAGCTTGAAGTTGGGGAGTGAGATCCCCCCCACTTTATTCTTCTTTTTCAGGATTGCTTTGGCTATTCGGGGGTCTTTGGCAGTTCCATATGAACTTTTGAACTATTTGTTCCAGTTCATTGAAGAATACTGTTGGTAATTTGATAGGGATTGCATCGAATCTGTATATTGCTTTGGGCAGGATGGCCATTTTGACGATATTAATTCTTCCTAGCCAGGAGCATTGGATGAGTTTCCATTTTTTAGTGACCTCTTTAATTTCTCTTAAGAGTATCTTACAGTTTTCAGGGTAAAGTCTTTTACTTCCTTGGTTAGGTTTATTCCTAGATATTTTATTCTTTTTGATGCTATTGTGAATGGAATTGTTTTCCTGATTTCTCTTTCTATTAGTTCATTGTTAGTGTAGAGGAAAGCTACAGATTTCTGTGTGTTAATTTTTTATCCTGCAACTTTGCTGAATTCCGATATTAGTTCTA